CCAGAACATTGCAAAACCAGGACTCGCTGCACGGCCAAGGGAGTGGAAACTTCCCCAGCTGATCCCGCTGCTGCAGCTCATTATTTATTTAGCAGTATCTGCATTTATATGAAAGATGATCCCAGCGATGCTCATTCGGCAGTTGAAGATTTCTCGGGGAAAAGAGGCCACGGAGCCAGGGCTGCTGCGAGGGGCTGTTCCAGTGCCCAGCTCCTGGCATGGATGGAGAGGATTGGAGAGGAATGGTTTGGGTTGGAAGGGGCCTTAAAGCGCACCCAGTGCCACCCCTGCCGTGGGGACACCTCCCACTGTCCCAGTTGATCCCAGCCCTGTCCAGCCTGGCCCTGGACACTTCCAGGGATGGATCAGCCACCCTTTTTCTGGGCACCCTGTGCCAGGCCCTCCCCACCCTTCCAGGGAAGGATTTCTCCCCAAAATCCAGTTTTGATGCTGAACTGGGTGTGGGGTTGTGAGGTATTTTGGTGGTGCCACTAAAATACATCTATGATAAGAAAGAGCTTTTGGATATCAAGACTAGCCAAAATTTGGATACCAATTACGTCAGATTATTGGATAGCTCATGAGGCACCTGTAGCCAGCTGTGGAAGGTTTGGGCACGGGAAGCACTTGGAATTTTTTGATGTGTCTCCACACCAAGGCTGAGGCAGCACGGACTGCTGGGTGTAGGTACCCACCCCTCAGTACCAGTCTGATTCCACTTGATTTCACCTTTAATTCTCACATGGGGAGAAATATTGGAAAGGGAAATCAAAAATGTGTGGAGAAAACTTCTTGGGATGCATTATTTACCTGGAGTGAAATACAAAACGTGTCCCAAACTTCCCCTGAGCGAGGCACCATCATGTCCAGAGCTGGACGTGCCGAATTAGTTTACAGCATCTTTTTTTGAGCTGTTCCTTTATAAATCACTCAATCTCTGTGCATTTGGCAGATAATTACTGCCTCAGTGAGCTTCTCTCTTGTGCAATTTGTGGCTGTGGGAAATGCAAGGAGCTGCTGGAAGCCCTTTCCTCTGCCAGCCTCATGGGCGAGGCTGTTGCTCCCCATCTTTAATTAGGGTGCTGCAATCCCATCCCAGCCCTTTCCATGCCAGCTGCTTTATCCTGAGCCCGGCTTCACTTGTTTCGTGTCAAATTCCCCATAATGAACATTTTACCTGCATTTTCTCCCCCTGTTCTTTTTTCTTTTAAGTGCCTGAAGCTCCAAAAAATTCACAGAGTGTAACTCATCCTTGAGTACGACCTTGAAATAAAGAGAGATTTCTGATTTGCTCCATGATTACAAAGCAAAGATAGGAGCTGCCAGAGAAAATAACGGGAACAGCAGCCTGGCTGCCAATGGATCTATTCCTGACCCTGCCACAATTTACCTTCATTTCCTCCCTCTTTGCTCAGTCATTGTAAGAAAAGCAGAATCTGTTTTTTTGGGTTTTTTTAATATGCATTTGCCAGATTTACCCTATTTAATGTCACGTGGATATTTGCCCTCTCCTTTTTGTCCTGTTTCCTGATTTTTTCCTCTTGCCTGGGCATATTCCAGCACTGAGATTCTTATTTTGATGCAGAGGGTGCATGGTTTTAATTTCACTTTTAAACCCAGACTAATGTGTGTTGGTTGAGGAGGGCTCTAACTTACATCAGGCCACATAAAACAATTTCCATAGCCTATTTTGAGCTTGGACCTCCTTATTCCAATAAATAGGAGGCCCTGGATGTCCTGGCTGTCCTGAAACCCCAGGATCAGCAGAGTTTATCAACTCTTACCTGTTCTGATGGAGCAACTGCTGAAATAAGGGTGGGGCAGGCAGGGATGATGACAAGTGGGAATTCTCGGAGCTAATTCTGACCTCCACCCGTGAATCAGAGCCTTCCAGCCAGGGAGTTCCCATGGAAGTTGCCTGGAGATATTCTCAGGATTTGGGCTCCTCAAATTCAGACAAAAGATTGCTTATTGGGAGGAATGTGAAGGACAAAGTTGATGGTGCTTTGAAGCAAGGGGCTTTGTTTGGTGCAGGCTGGGTTTTCCTCGCTGCATGTGAGGACAGAGTCAAGAGGAGCCCCTGTCCTTTTATCTGTTCCTGGTGGAGTTGTGGGACAAGCTCAGATCCAGCCCTTGGAGCACCTCAGGAGGCATCAGCCCTCCTTTGTCAGCTCACAAACCCTGAATTCTCAATTTCCTGAGATTATTTCCCCTGAACATTTCATTAGCTTCAGCTCCTTGACTCCCTTGACCACGACAAGTTTGCAGCAGGGCTGCTTTGGGTGGTTTGATGTTGGATCTGAGAATCTGCACTTTGAGTCTGGCTTTGCTCCTGACCTCCCAGTTTTTCAGTTCATGGTGGGATTTCAGGATATTCAGCTGTTGTTTGGTGTTTGAGAGAAAAATAACTGAAATTATTTGGGTAAGGGCGAGAGGACAGGGCTGCTGTTGCTGCATGAATATTGATCATTGTGTGTGATTAAGAGAAAGTTAATTATTCCATGTTCTGTAATATTTCATTTGCAAATCTGCCTGTTCTGCTTTAATTTCAGTGCTCAGCCTGGCACGTGGCCACTTGTCCATGTCTGTGCCCTGGGGTGCAGCAATTCATCTGGGAGAATTGTCCCAGTTTTGGCTCTCACTGGTGCTGCACGACTGTAATTTGCTCTTAGTGTGGTTCTGCTGACTCTCCTACACCTGCTGGGCTTCTTTTACCATGGCTTAAATAGTTGTGTGAATTTTTTTCCCTAACTTCCAAGTAATTAGGGAATTAAATTTAGAACTGGAGCATCCAAAGTAAGAATTTTAGATTATGGCAGAATCACAATTATGAGAAAACCTTAAAAAAAAAATATCAAAAATCAGAAAACAACAACAACAACAAACAAACCAAAAAAGCAAAAACAAAACAAAAAAACCCCAACTTGTTTAAGATTTCAAAATTCCACAAGCACAGGAATTTTCCCTGGAATTCTGAGTAAATGGGACACTCAGACGTGCAGGGGCACCGGTGGTGATCCTGATCCCTGGGTTCCCTGGGGAGCAGCACTAAGGAAAAGGTCCTTGGGAAGCTGTTTTTGAGAGTTTTGGGTAAAAGCTGCCCTCAGGGGCCTTGGGAGGAAGGTTCTGGATGTTCATGGTCCGGTGTGTTGTGGCCCTCGGTAATGGGTTTGGGAGGTGATCCATGAAATTGGGCAGGAAACCTTTATGGCAGGATAAATGAGAATTCTGATGAGATGAAATTAAGAAAATGGGTTTTAAACAAGAGGTGTATGGTGCTGGCCAGCTGAGCCCCAACATTTCTCATTCCTTAAATTAATGGGGCATTTGTACTTTCAGGGTCAGTGCAGCTGGAGCTGGATCATCTCCTGTTCTGCTTTTGTTCCCTTTTTCACTGCTGGATTATTGGTTCTGTTTGCTCTTTTTATTTGGATTATTTTTGGTGTGAACGTTTCCAGCTGCTGTGCTACAATTAGCCCAGTGAAGCAATTAACTACAATTAACATGGAACTATAATGGAGCAGGAGAAAAGAGACTTTTATAAAGAGTCTGGCATCATAACCCTCCCAAGAGAGCTGTCACCCACGTACTGGGCATACTGGTGTTACTGGGAGCTCCAAAATTCCACCCTCCCACCTTCATGTGCAGCTGGGATCCCGTGGAAATCTCTTCCCATTGTCCAGGAATGGGTGTTTTTTTTGTCCAGGGAAAAGGATTTCAGATGTGGAAGAGTTTCCTAAGCTGTGATGTGGTCTCAAGCTGTCAAAAGTGTTATCTCACCTCCTCTCTCTTTCAGCTGGGGAAAAAAAATGCTTCTGTTCCCTGCTGAGTGCCAGAAATCCTTTGAAGTCTCCTGCTGGAACCCAGTGGTTTGGAATACTACATTGGGAGAGTTATCCCAGCTTTTTGGGATGCAAGGAGAAGTGAAAAGAGCTGGGGAAATCTCAAAAGCTTTTTAGCAGAGATTGTTTTCAGCAGCTTCTTTCCTTCCTAGTAAATACTTCTTGCCTAAACCCTTTAAAATTTAGTAAAGAAGGTGAAGAATTCACACACAAAAAAAGAGGTTTTTACTTGGTTAAAACTGCAGGGACCCTCCCAAAAACACCTGCTGCTGTTTCCCTGCCACTTCCTGCACCTCCCAAAGCCAAACACAGGGAACAGGCACAATAAGGAAGAAAAGTGCTTTGCATGGATCCCACCATGGGAGGGCCATGGAAATCCTGAACAAAGTCCTCTCCATGTTCTGTTTGCCAAATGAAATGTTTAAAGAGCAATATTCCATCGGGTGTGTGCTCCTGGAGATAGGAGCCCCAACCTTTGCATTCCTGGAAAAACCTTTTCCTTGTGCTCTGAAAGTTGGGTTTGACGTCATGGGGAAGAAATCCACTCTTGAAGGAAATAAAAATCAATGGGAACAGGACTGATGAGGAGGTGCCTGGCACTGACACCATCATGTTTTCTAGATGAGCACAATCTTTGCAGATAGAGTTTAAACCCACTTGGAGATAGAATTTATACCAACTTGCCAAGTAAATACTCTCACTTTTCACCTCCAGTGTTGGGATTAGAACTTTTAGTCTATTTTACAGACACTTTCAAGAGGAATTGTCACAGATTTTGCCATTTTTCATCTCCTCCAGTGCTGTGTTCATTACTCAAAGTGTGATTACAGCTTGGCACCTCATGTTTGCAGGTTCCCAACTGTGATAAACTGTCAGGACAGCTCCTGTTGGAGCCCAAAGCTCCCAGCTGAGCCCTCAGCACATTCAGGTATTTGTTAATGCCTTAATTTGAAGCAGATCAGAGGGTTTTTTCCCTCCAGAAACAGGAGAGCTCTTGGGCTGGAGTTCACCCCAGATCCATTTAAAGGATTCTCAAACCTCGCCCCAAAACATTCACCACAAAATAATCCTTCTGCCACAGTGCCAGCCTGGCCCACACACATCCAGAATATTTATGAATGAGTGGAAAACAGAAGAGCTGAGTCACGCAGCCAGAGGTCGTTTCTGAAGAATAAAATTTTATTTTTTGGCTGAAAAAACTGCATACACATGTTCAGATCTGGGCAACCTTCACCACATGTCTTCGTTTCCAAACAAATGTGTGCTCTGAAGCATGCAGGAGCCCACTGCAGCTTGAGAAAGGAGTTGAGAGGGTTTTCTTTTTAATCTAGAACTGTGCAAACATCATTTGAAAGCTATTTACATTTTGCTCCTCTCACTTCTACTAACGGGAGCATCAGCTGGTAGAGACGTGCAGAGTGCAGCTGTAATTTATGATTTGGCACCCACGTTTGATTTGTGTAGAGTGAAAACCAAACAAACCTCCCATTGTTCCACAACCTCCCCACAGGCAATGGTAATAAATCTAATTTCTTCTTTGTAAAGGAGATCTCTCTAAGCCTTCCCTGCAGGTATTAAAATATTATTTCCACTCTGGATCCTCTTTGCCTGGTGCTGATTTGCACTTTGCTACCTTGGTGAGTGGGAGCAGCAAGAAAAGATTTTGATTTTCATCAAAGAAGGCAGGAGGGCACTGAGACAGAGCAGGGCTGCTTCTTCCTGTCATCCTCATTGAACTGCAAGATGAGGTGGAGAATTTTTTTCCAAAAAGAAAATATGTTAGACCATCTGAACCCAGACGCAGGAACTTAGGCGTGAAAAAAGATGGATTTGAGTTCATCCTTCTGTTGCTTTTTCTTCCAAGTTCCTCTCCCATCCATTGAAGCCTGGAAGTCACCAACCAGCCAGACACCATCACTCCAATCCTGCTGGAGATCCTCATTTTTTGTCTCCTCTAACCTGGCCCCTGCACTGTGTTGGTAGAACTTTGGGTGTGAGGAGCCACCAAAAGAGCCTCTGCCAGAGTGGTTGGATGCCGCTCATTTCCAAAGAAATGAAAAACATTACAGATTAAAAGAATATTTAATGGAAATTACAAGTCTAGGAAAGATTTTGCTCTTGGGTAATGCCTTTATGCATTCATTGTTCCCGGTTCTACTTGGGAAAGAGAATGGCTGAGCAGGAATTAAATAGGAAATAGGGTTTGCTTCCACTGTTCATTGTTAAATGTGCTTTTTGGCATTGGAAACAATCTTTAAATGCAGGCTAAAAGCATCTATTTAGAGAAAACAGAATGATAAGAAAGTGCTGAAGGTTTTACAGAAGGATTCCATTATTTTGGGGTTTAAGGACGTTCCAAGCAGATCAGTCCATAGGGAATTCATCAGATTTCCCTGCTGGAAACCCTCCCAATGTCCCATTTTCCTCTACACTTGTGCTGCCTAAAATGCCAGGCCAGAGAGGCTTGGCCACATCACATCCCTGCAGTGTGGTGTTCACAGTGAGTTTGGGGCAGCAGAGCTTTGCTGTCCCTCAAAGCAACAGATCCTAAAGCAGCACTGGGAAAGAGACTGGCTGAGCAAGAATGAAACAGGAAATGGGGTTTGCTGCTGGAGGTGGGAGCTGCGTGGATCCTGTGCCATTCCAGGAGCTGTGTGCCATTCCCAGAGTGTTCACGGGACAGGGCTCGGTGCCTCGCTCTGCTCTCCAGCCCCGCAGGTGAAGCAAGCAGGGTTTTCCTAAGAGCCAAACCTCAACGCGAACCATTTGTGAACCATTTCACAGAGCTGCTGGGCCCTGCTGGGCCCGGCTCAGTTCAGCACGGCGCTCTCGGGCTGGGGCCCGAAGATCTGGGAGAAGAACTGCAGGGCCAGGCGGACGTGGATGGGCACGAAGACGTAGGCGGTGTACACCACCATGGCCAGCACGGTGACCGTGATGGTGTGGAACATGGACTGCTCCCAGGGCTCCAGCACGTAGCTGCACGTCACCAGCTGGTACTGGTAGTACAGCCAGTACAGGTAGTCCTTCACCCTCTTCACGTCCATCTTCAGCTCCAGGGGGGTTGGAGGGCACCTGGAATGACAGGGAAATTGGGATTACAGCGGGGGTGTCCTGTGGAACCACTACACAAACTCCTTCTCTGAGGTGTCGGTGCCACCAGCTCCCCTGAACCAAAGGGAGCTGTTGGATTCTGCAGCTGCTGCTCAGTTATTGGAGATGCATCAGCTGGGTATTCCCACTTCCCAGAAAAGCTGATCCATCCCTGAAAAGCGTCCAAGCCAGGCTGAAGCGAGCTGGGATAGTGGAAGGTGTCCTTGCCCATGACAGGTGTGGGACTGGGTCATTAAACTCCCTTCCAACCCAAATCTTCCTGTGACTCTACCAATTTCCACATCCCAAGTGTGTTTTCCTATCCATTCCCTGTGGAAATCAGGGAAATAGGCATTTAAAAAGAAAGGCTTTGGGCCAGCTTCCAGAAATGTTCCATAAATTCCAGAAATGTTCCGTAAGTTCCATGTATGCCCCAGAATAAAGATAAGATTAAAACAACTGCCCTGTAAAAACTTCTCTGCTTACTTTTGATAATCGTTTTTATTGCTCTGCAATTGTTGGGAACAAAGAAAACCAGGTTACAAAAGAGAAAGGGAGAAAAAAGTAATCTCTGATTGCAGAAGGATTTTTTTGCAGCTCATTCCAAAGAAATGAAAAACATTACAGATTAAAAGAATATTTAATGGAAATTACAAGTCTAGGAAAGATTTTGCTCTTGGGTAATGCCTTTATGCATTCATTGTTCCCGGTTCTACTTGGGAAAGAGAATGGCTGAGCAGGAATTAAATAGGAAATAGGGTTTGCTTCCACTGTTCATTGTTAAATGTGCTTTTTGGCATTGGAAACAATCTTTAAATGCAGGCTAAAAGCATCTATTTAGAGAAAACAGAATGATAAGAAAGTGCTGAAGGTTTTGCAGAGGGATTCTGTTATTTTGGGGTTTAAGGATATTCCAAGCAGATGAACCCATAGGGATCCAAGTCCCTGCTGGAAAACCTCCCAATGTCCCATTTCCTCTACACTTGTGCTGCCTAAAATGCCAGGCCAGAGAGGCTTGGCCACATCACATCCCTGCAGTGTGGTGTTCACAGTGAGTTTGGGGCAGCAGAACTTTGCCGGCCCTCAAAGCAACAGATCCTAAAGCAGCACTGGGAAATTTGCAGCCCAAGATTAAAATAGGGATGGACCACTGATATAGGTCAAAAATATTCCAATATTCAGTGTTCTCCTGCTCTGTTCTGGGGAGATGTGGGACTTACCAAAGGGAAGTTTTCCCCCTTAATTCTCCCAAAGCATTTCCTTCACTTCCATCTTCCCATATTTCCTAGACTGAGAAAGCTCCTACAACAGTTTTGGGGGACAGATCAACATTTCAAATGCAGCAGTGGCTGTCTCTGTGAGCAGCTTTTCTTGCAGGGGTTCAGGCTGGGGAGAAAGGCACCGCTGCTCCCTGGCCAGGCATGAATGGAAGCTGATTCCTTTCAGATAATTTATTGGAAGGCAGAACTCCAGAGAGAGAGAGAGGCCCTTAAAGGCTTGGAAATATTGCAGAGCCTTCAGTGAAAGTGGCCCAGCTGGCAAAGTGCGACTCCCTGGGAGCCAAAATTGTTTCTGTTCAGACTTTCTGCAAAAAGAGCAGCGCTGTCCACTGAGGGGGGAAACCCTTTCCTGAACAGTGGGGAGGAGGAGAAGGAGAAGGAGAAGGAGAAGGAGAAGGAGGAGGAGAAGAGCCCCCTCACACTCTCCAGGATTATGGGATTTACACTGGGGTTAGGGCTGTGCTGGTTAAACTCATCCCTTCCGTGGGTAAATCCCTGCTGATCGCAACCCCTGCCTGGAGAAGCTGCAAGGCAGGAGCACTGCTGGGGGTGTTTGAGTGACCAGAGCTGCTCACATTCCTGTTCATCTCCATCCAGAGCTGCTTAAGGACAGCCACAGGCAGGAAAAACATCCCCCAGGCTGATTTTACTGATATTCCAGGCTGCAGCCTCACCATCACCCCTCGGAGAGCCACATGAATAAAGGATGAGGCAGTTAAAATGATGAGCAGCCCTTTGGATTTAACCGAAGCCCTTGGCACCTTTTTTCCAGCCTGGGGATTGCATTTCCCCGCAGCCCCAGCACAGCCTGGCTTTCTCTGGTTCTCCCAGCTCTCAGTGCACGGCAGTAATTCCATCCCCAGGCACTCTGGAATTCCAGGAGGAACACAGCTGCCTTTGTGCTCTGTGGTCTCCTAATGAATGCTGGAGGTTGAGATAAGTAAAAGGCAAAAGCAAATTACAGTCTGTGCCCTCACCACTGACACACTTCCCCTGCATTTCATGCAGCGCGAGAGCAGGGAGCTGTGCAGGGATAACACAACTCCAGCTGCATAATTTATAAAGGAAAACACAGGAGAGGAAGGGGGAAAAGCCATTTGAAAGCAGCTGCTGAGGCAATGAGAGACAAGGCTCCCCGGTGGCATTGTCACACAGATCCCTTGGGGAAGGGACAATTTGCATCCCTCTGGGCCCATTATGAGGAATAAGGAGTAGCCCCAAATCTCCACACCTCCAGAGGTCTGTGGCAGCTTTGCCACCCAAATTAATTGTAGCAGCAATCAAAGGGAATAGCAGATTACTAGGCAAACTTCAGAGGCTAAATTAAATCTGTATTTTAAACAGGATTCGTCCTAGAGAGGCTTCACTTCCATGTCTGTGTTTTATTCCATTCCAGCTGGCACTCCCACTTGAAAGGGCCCTGAGTTATTCACTCATCAGTTCCCACTATTCCAGAGCAGGAGATAATTTGTTCTTATGCAATTTTAACTCAACATTCATTTGTCTACAAATTTGGATTGAAACATTTGGAGGTGCTGGGGAAATGCTTTCCTGTTTAGAGGCCACGGGGCTGTTACAGCCAGCTATGAGTGAAATGAAGAGAATTCAGCTCCTGTTAAGCAATATTCAGATTATTTTCAGCACTTGCACCTCCAAGAGAAAAAAAAATGCGAGAAGAGAAACCTGTAAAGCAGCTTTTAGTGTTTTAAGTGGCTGCCTGATTTTCTTGCTTGTTGACACATGTCTCTGATTAGGGCAGCTGAAAAGATAAATCATCATCCAAATATCAAGGTTTCATTTCAGAGCATGCTTAATCTCCCAAATTTCTTTATTAATGATCTTATTTTCCAGAGTCAGAGCTAGTTGGGAGTTAGAAGATGCCAGTGTTAGGTCCTTTAATATGTAATTTCTGCTTTGAGCAGCTGGGATTTGGGGAATTTTGGTCACATTTTCAATCTGCAACTCTGACCCGTGGCTGGACAGCTCCTGCTGGGAAATTCCTGTGGAAAGAAACATTCTTGTGGGGGAACTGGGAGAGACTGGTTTGCAAAGAATGCTTGAAAAACACTTGATGCCCTCAGCAGGAGGAATTGGCCGAGTTACACATCCAGAGAAAAAGGGTTTCCAACATATGTTCAGGAAAAGTTCATCTGGAGTGGGGAAAAACAAAGCCTGGAGCTGGAAATGGCCTCATGATCATTCAACAGGTGACCTCTGCTGCTTTGAATGGAAAGTAGGGATGAGATGAGAAGTAAAAGCAGCAAACTATCAATCCATCCCCAAAATACAAATATTCAATTGGCTAAAAGTGCATCCTGAGGCAATCCTCTCATGCTGGAGCTTAAATAAAATCCTTCCACGAGTCCCTGAGCGGGCTCCAGTCCCACAGCCCTGAGCACCCACATGTAGCAGGTGCAGCCAGGCAAAGTGCCAGACTGAATTTCAAGTTGTCTGATCTGTAAATAATTTTGGATTTTAGCTCCTAAAGGGCGACCACCTCCTTGGGATTGGACTAGAAATCCTATCTGCAAGTTATTGATGTGGACCTGTTCCTATTTGTAACTTCACTGTGTTCAATGGGTTTGTCCTGCTAATATCCTGGAATTCTGGAGTGCACAGCAGAGTGAAGCAGCCCTGGTTTCTCTCCCTCAGCACCCTTGGCCATCCATTAGAGAGCTCCAGGAAATGCAGATCCCTTCCATATGTCCTGCAGCGCCAGGATGAGGGTCTGAGCTGGGGAAATGTTGGTGCTGCACATGACTCAGCCATTCTGCATGTGGGTGAGCACGGCTTGGCTGAGCCTGTGGGGTTTGCTGGAAATAAAATCTTCCAGGAGTGGAAGGGCTAAGGCAGGAAGAGCAATGCTGTTTTCAGCCCTGTTTCTCTCTTACCTGGCTCAGGAGAGTGAATTCCAGCATCTTCCTCACCTTTAACCCCAACTTCCTTCCTGCTGGCCTCAGTGGCAGCACACAGGTGCTATTTTGGTTCTTTCAAATGTTACATAATGCACAGCAAGCCCAGGAGCTCTCCCTGTCCAGGAAAACTTCCTGTTACCTCTGGGAACCTCAGACCCCTCCTCGAGTGGCAGTGCCACGCCTGCACAAAGTCTGAGCCGACTTCCTCGTCTCCAGCTGGACCCTGATCTGTGTGTGTGCTCCTCCTGCAGCAATTCTGGGCTCCCAAACTGGGCTTTGGTGCTGGAATTCTGCTGCATCTCTGCCTGGAGCAGAGGATTCCTGTCGGCCTGCCTTGCCAGCTGCACAGGACAACAGCCAGAGCGTCGCTGAATTTTCTCCTCCAGTTGAGATGTGTACACAGATGGAGTTTATGGTGACCTACAACCATGTGGAAAAGTCCTTTCAAGTGAGATCCAGAAATTTTTGACCCTCAGGAAAGCAGAGGTTGCTCTGCAGCAGCCACAGGGGTCTCCTTTGGAGAGAAGCTTCTCAGCATTCAGCACCAGCCCAGCAGCTGAAGGCAGCTGAAGTTTGGGCTGATTTCATGCCTTACCTGCCCCTGACAGCTGGAGGCTGCTCCCAGCAAAGGCACAGCTCTAAATAACTGAGCTGCCCCTGTCTTTGCAGCCTGGCTGGTTGATCAGTGCCCAATCCCCTCCTTACTCAGGCACAGGGAAAGGAGAAGATGCAGCTTCTCTGTAACAACAACATTCCTGGAGCAGCTCTGTCCCATTTTCTTCCAAGGCTAAATTAATTTTTCAACAATTTTCCTGTTCTTCCCTCCCCTGAAGTTTCCTCAGTGGTTTCCTTACATAACCAGCTGCTCCTTGCAGTTTAGGTACAGATCCTTTCCTTTCCAGCTTTCCTGGCCTGGGCTTGGTTTGTGCTCTGGGCCCTCCCCCTGTGCCAGGATTTGTACCGTGGGGCAGAACAGGTGAGCAGCTCTGCCAGAGAAGATGGGAAAATGGCAAATTGAATCCCAGGGGAAGGGAAACCTTCCCTTCTCTTTTGAGTGTAAATATAGTTTAGGAACAGGGTTTTGAACAGAACTATTCCCAACCAAAACCTCAAATTTGGGACTAGAGACCAGCACCAGGTTTAGATTGCAAACACTTAAAAATCGAGAGTTCTCAAAGAGCTGTTCCAGGAATATCTCAGAGGGGTTTTGCATTTGCTCCTGCTGACAAACCTCAGTTCCTTGTGAGATTTGGGACATCATCTACATCTTTCGAAGCCTTCCAAGTTCAAGAGGTTGTGTAAACACATCAATCTACCAACAAAATAACTGAGATGTCTGGGCTCTAAAATAAGGTTGACTTTCAGTTGTGGCCCTTATTTTATTCAGACTTCTTTGCTTTGCTCTGAGTCATTTCTGAGGCAGCTGAAAGTAACAGCCTGGGTAGTGTGCAACATGAGGAAGTGAATATTGTCACAGCTATGACAGGTATTAGTGGGACCAAACTCTTGTGCAAGTGCATCTCCCTCAGATCTCATTAAAGGAAGCAGAGTTGCATCACTCCAGTGACTGCTCCAGAGGGGAAAAGCAAAAATGGACTGAGATGCTTGCAACAGATAAGAAATAAAAAGGGAGATGCAGTTTTTTCACAGATTTAACCCCATCTATGCTTTGAGGAACAGCTTCCTTTGCAGGCACTTCCTGGCTGTGAGCAAACAGGTTTGGACACACAAAACCCATAAAACAAATGAAAAGCTCCATAAAATGTGGCTTGGCAGGACCCAGAGCAGAGCCCTGGCTGCCTCCCAGCCAGTGGAGCTGTGTCCTGGTGCTGTGGGGCTTTTTGGGCACAGCGGGATGGCACAAGCACTGCCATGGGCCCAGGCTGCTCCCCAGACAGCATTTCAGCATCTTCCATTCCAGCTGGGATCTTGGAATAACATCCATGCTCCATGCACAGCTTCCCTGCTTTTCTCCCCACCAAACCTGCACCAGAAATCACTCCAAGCACTCCTGGAATTGCAGTTATTTGTACCATACCTGTGATATTCATCAGAGAAAGAAAACCCAGCATCTCAATTCCTAAAGCATTTAAAATCCACATCAAAATCCCTCAAAGTGCCTCGTGCTGACTAAGCAGAGCCTGAGCATTTATTGCAGGGATTCTCCTCCATATTATCCAGCATTCATCCAACGGGGAAGGCAGGATTGCACCTGCTTCCCACTGAAAGCAACCACCAGCAACTCTTAGAAAACAAGAGAGGACAAATCTGCCGGCGAGGAGCGTTCCCAGCAGAGCGGTGCGAGCAGCACAGCCTCCTCCATCCCCCCCACCCAGCGCGACCTTCCCGCTCCGGGGTGCTCGACTCGCTTTTGGGGAATCCCCGAGGCAAACCATCTTCCTGCCACCGGGAAATAAATCCCCGACTGCAGGGCTGCAGCAACAAGTCACAGAATGGTCCGGCTTGGAAGGGACCGTGAAGCTCCTGTCGCTGCACCCCTGCCGCGGGCAGGGACGCCCCAAAGCGCGGAGCCCTCGCTGGTGCTGCAGGTGCGGCAGGAGCGCCGCCAGCTCCCCCGAGGGAGGCACAGCGCAGCAACCCCCGGGCTCCTGCGGCTGCCAGCCCCGCAGAACCCCGGGCCTTCCCCCGCCGCTTACCGAGCCGCCGGGGACTCGCCGTCGCCAAGGTCACCGGCCCCGGGCTGGGGATGCTCCGGGACGCGCCTCCGCCGCGATGCCCTTGGGCCAGCCGAGCTGGGCGGGGGATGAGCGCCGGCACCGGGAGCTCCGGGTGCGGGAACACGGGGATGCAGTGCACCAGGCTTCGGGAGCACCGGGATGCAGCGCACCGGGCTGCGGGAACACCGGGATGCAGAACACCGGGATGCAGCTCACCGGGCTGCAGCTCACCGGGATGCAGAACACCGGGATGCAGGGCACCGGGATGCAGGGCACCGGGCTGCAGCTCACCGAGCTGCAGAACACCGGGATGCAGCGCACAGGGATGCAGAACACCGGGATGCAGAACACCGGGATGCGGCGCGCCGCGGCCCCGCGCCTCCCTCACCTCCGCTCCGCGCACCGCAGCTCCCCAGCCCGGCGCTACCCGCGCTTAAATCCCCACCTTTCCCCCCTCCCTTCCTCCCTCCCTCCTCCTCCTCCCTCCTCCCCCTGCTCACCTCCCGCCCGCTGTCCCCGCGGTCCCGGCCGGTCCCTCCGCCCCGCCCGCTGCCGCAGCCGCGGCGCTGGGGCTGGCGGCGCCGGGGAGCGGGGGAGGAGGAGCGGCGGAGCCGGGCTCGGGGAAACCCGTGGGATGGAGCTGGCTGGCACCTCCGGGACGCCAGCTGTTTCCCCGGAGCGCCGTGTTTCCCTGGCTTTTCCCGGCGCTGGCGTCATGCGCTCGGCGGCCGCGCTGCGGGATGCGCCAGAGCTGCCCCGCACAGAGCGGCTTCTTATCGCAGCCCTCTATCACGACAGACACCCTTCATATGGCACCCCTCCATCGCGACAGACACCCCTGCAGCGCGGTTATCCTGCCAAGGGTGCCGGCAGGTGCCTGCGAGCATCCCGGCTCCAAGTGGGAAGGAGCCGGAGCGGCAGCGCGGTGTTCCAGCGGGAGGAGAGGGGGTTTGGGGTGATTTCACACTGATCAGGTACCCCCAGGTGTCAGGTGAGGGGTCTGCAGAAAGGAGAGACAGGGATGGACAGGAATTGGCAAGACTTGATCTGAAATCCCGTGGAATACAGCAGGACCCCGCCAATCATGAGGCTCAGCTTTGTGTAGTTTATTCTGTCCCAGAGATAAAGAAGCTTAATGTAGTGTCCTGCTCGCTCCCAAACATCTACTTCAGAGTATAACTTTGCAGTTTAAGTGAGGAATAAAAGCGTCAGAAGTGCTTTTTCCCCGATTTTCCCCTGGAGCAGCCGGATTCCAGGCACGATCTCCCTCACCAAACAAAACGTCGCTGTTCTGGCACCCACCGGTGCCTTCCGACCACAAAGGAATGCGAACCTTTTCAGGGCCAGATGTAACAGCTGGGGTTAAAGCTGTTCTTTTCCTGTTTGAACACGTTTTAACGATGCTTTAAAACTGCTCTTTCCACGGCGAGCACCTTTAAAAGGCGCTTACACAAACAGGGCTGCGCAGGTGACAAAGGGGCCATCAGGATGTGACGCTTTCATTCCCAACCCAGCAGTGCCTCTTTCTGCCGCTGCTATTTTTATGGATGTTGACTGTGGAACTGATGCTTGCTTAGCCTTTGATATTAAAATAATCACGTACAAAGGGTTTGTTCAAAATTTACAGATGGTTGTGTCCCTTTCTAGCCCGGAGCAGGGCTCTGCCTGTCCCGGAGCTCTGTGTTGTGTCTGGGCACGACTCGGGGTGCTGAAATCCCTGAGCAGGCAGAGCTTGGAATGGCCAGAGTAGTTTTGCCAGCGATGGGTGGGTGGGTGTCACCCAGTCCCCTAAAAATCCTGGCAAAAGCATTTTGGGTTACCAGGGCACCACAGAATGTGAAAACTATAAAAGCTAAACCTGAGGCATCAGCTCCACACACCAGTTTAATTTCAGGTATTTATTCCAGGGGCTGAACTTTCCAGAGAGGAATTTACAAAAAGCTGTCCCACAGTCTCCTTAGTACCCTGATGAGCTGCTGCTGCCCTGCTTCTGATGGGCACAGAATCCCTGAACCTTGGAATAATTTTGCTTGGAAAAGACCTCCAAGACCATTGAGTCCAAGTGTTCCCAAAGCCACCACTAAACCCTGTCCCCAAATGCCACATCCCCACAGCTTTTAAATCCCTCCAGGGATGGGGACTCCAATAGTCCCTGGAGGTTCCTAAGACCAGGGGACTTGGGCAGCTGTGCCAGGGCTGGACAGCCCTTTCCAGGAAGCAATTATTCTCAAAATCCAAATTGAGCCTCAACCTGAGGCTGTTCCCTCATCCTTGGGAGCAGAGCCCGACCCCCCGGCTGTCCCCTCCTGGCAGGAGCTGTGCAGAGCCACAAGGGCCCCCCCATCCCCCTTTTCTCCAGGCTGAGCCCCTTCCCAGCTCCCTCAGCCTCTCCCGGGGCTCCATTCCCTTCCCGGCTCCCTCAGCCTCTCCTGGGCTCCATTCCCTTCACCCCCAGGTGAACTCAGCAGTGGCTGCAGAGGAAGGTTCCGTGCTTATAAATGCCTCAGTTTGCCTTTGGCACGCTCTGGCTTATCAAACGGAGAAGGATTTGCCTCACAATAAATTTCAGATTTTCGGATAGTGGAGTTTTGTTTGCCTTGAGACAGGACAGGGCTGAGGGGCCCTGCCAGGCCCTGCTGGTGTTTCCAGAGGGAAGAACCTCCCGAGCCAGAACTGCCTGAATTCAGGATGAACAGCTCTGTTCTCAGAAGTAGGACAGGGTTTAAGCGAAAGGAGGCTGTGGTTTGATTTATCAGGCCCTGCTGCTGATAGGCTCTGCTTCCTCCTGAGCTTCCTGCTCCTGCTGCTTCCTTCCCTGACTCAGGAGAAGCCTCTGGCTTGTCCCCTGCAAGGAATGAAAAGCAAATTAACAAAACAGGGGAAAAAAAAAGGAGATGAAGAATTAACTTTTGAATTAACTTTTCTATTAGAGAAAGGTTTGAAAAGGAGATACTTCATGTGGATAAATAAATTTATTTTTAAACCTAATCCTTGCTGTAGGCTGATCCTTCTGCACCAAGCAAAGGAGCCCCAAAACCTCCCAGTTCCTTAAAATCAGGCCTATAAAATAAAAGATGAGGAACACAACCACATTTAATAAAAGATGAGGAACACAACCACATTTAATTCCTCAGGGTTACCATCCTCCTGCTCCAGACCTGCTTGAACCTCAGCCTCCCCTAAAAGCCTTGTGCTTGTCATGGTGAAAATCAGACCAAATTACCTGCATAAAGTAGATAAAAATACAGGAGTTTGTTTCCTTGTCTCCCCAGGGGCTACTGCTCTGGAAGATCTGATCCCTTTCTGGTCTGGCCCCTGGGGATTTGTGTTAATTATTGCTGGGGATTCCAGCGTGGCTTTGGCTGCTGCAGGAAACATCCAGCTCAGCCCCTGGAGACAGGAATAAAATCCCTGCCCTGCCACAAAGGCCAGCATGGCATTTGTAGAGTCTGGGAGTGTTTCCTGAGCCTTTGGGCTGTCCCAGCCCTGCAGGAACACTTCACAACAGGCCAGACTCTTCCCAGCCTGGATCACCAGGGGATTTCACAGAAAATCCAATTTCATATAATCCCAGAATGGTTTGGGTTGGAAGGGACCTTAAAATCATCTCATTCCACCCCTGCCATGGCAGGGACACCTCCCACTGTCCCAGGCTGCTCCAAGCCCTGCCCAGCCTGGCCTTGGGCACTGCCAGGGGTCCAGGGGCAGCCCCAGCTGCTCTGGGCACCCTCCCCACCTTCACAGGGAGGAATTCCTCCCTAAAATCTGATCTAAGCCTCCTACCTCAGCAGACTTGAGGATGCTCCTGCAAACCCAGCAAAGCAACAACCCGAACTCTTCATTTTCCAGCAGTGAGAGATCCGGATGTGTCTGTTCGGATTTTGGCTGGCAGGTGAGGCCACCTCGATTAATGGAAACTTCCAGGGTAAGCAAGGAAATCTGGCAGAGTCTGAAGAATATTCTGGGCTGGGGTGATGCTCCGGCTAAACCTGAGGTGATTGTGTTGCTAATTGTGTTCCCAACTAATTTGGCGTGTGGTGATCCTGTCCACAGCCACCTCTCCTGACAAATTAGAGAACAACCCTTTTATCTAATGACAGGGCAGGCTGGATAAAGCCATCAGCCCCGTGGGGTGTGGTGACAGCCCTTTGTGGGTGATCATCTCTCCACGTGTGTGCCACCACAGCTCCTGTTTTGGGGGCTGGTGGCACTGCTCCGTGGGACACTGGGTCTGACCCTCCCTTGTGCTGTGATTTTCCTTGTGCCAAAGTCCTGTGGCTCCTTCTGAGAAATTCTGTTTTATGGGAATTGGGATTATTTATCAGCGGCCTTGTTCTCCTCAATATCAATAAATCAATATCAATTAATGTTCTGGGTTAATTGGCCTGCACCCAGCTGGGGGAGCGGCTGGGTGGAATTCTGGGATCAGGAACAAGTAATTAGAAGGTAAAGGAATAATCAGAACAAGGGCTGGGCAGGATCTCCAGTGCTGGGTGAGTCACATTTTCACATCTCTGCTTCCTGCTGTGCCCCTTGGCCAATGTTAAACTGCTCCAGCCAGGCTGGGCTCTGGATGAGCAAAGTGTCTGATCTGCTGGGATAACTGGGATAACTGGGATAACTGGGATTTGTTCTTGACCTGCAGATCCCAGCGTGCCCATACTGCCACCCTCACGGGGATACCAGGTGGGGATCCCCACCCCAGGGCTGGGAATGCCTGGGTTCCCAAGTGTTCCAGAGGAAAATCCAGCTGTTCTGGGAGGGATCACCCATTGAACACATCCCACCCTGTGGCTGGAGAAGATTTTCACCTGGAGAAGGCTTTGAGACCAATCCTACTCATTCTAACATCAAATCTCCACAGGAAATTGCCTTAAAATGAGGAATTCTTCCCATATCTGGGGTTTTTTTTTGTTGTGTTTTCCCCTATATACGTTACTGCTCCCAAAGAAAACAGTTTCAAGCAGTGCAGGTCTCAGAAACTTGATTTTTGTGTTCAAAAAAATTCCATTTTGGGAAGTTATCCTGGGAAAATATTTGTTTTTGAGCTTTGTGCTTGTCCTGCTTGGATCAGGGTGGCTCGGGGTGTGTGTGTCATTAATTCTTAGGGCAGGGTGGGATTGTTCGGGTGTCCTGTCCAGGAACTGGACTGCATGATGCCTGTGGGGCCATTCCAGCCGGGATATTCCCTGATTTTTGTACTTCAGCTGCAAACCCGTCCCTGGCCGAGCTGTTGGGAGCTCCTGGAGCTCCCTCTTGTGCCGAGCCTCACCTGGAGCAGCAATTTCTAAATTTTCCTAAAACCTCCTGGGTTTTCCTTCTCCATCCCACTCCTGCCCTCCCATCCCTGCTCCTCCCCAGCTCCACCTGCCAGCCTGGAACCCCCTCTGCTGTCCCCCATTCCAGCACCAGGTGACATCTGGCACAGCTGTCACCTCCATGGAACTGGGGGAATCCTTCCCAGCTCTGCACTTTTTGTTCCCTCTCCCTTTCCAAGGGAAAAATGAGAGCTGGAAATGAAAAATAAGAAATGGAAATAAAAAATAAGAGATGGAAATAAAAAATAAGAGATGGAAATGAAGTCACTCTGTTCCTGGCCTAATCCTGGTGGGATTCTTGGTGGGATGTCCTGTGCAGAGCCAGCAGTTG